TTTTGGGTAGAAACTAGGAATTTCAAATTTTGGGGATTTAGACCTCAAATTGAGGTCGGATTACAAAACCAATTATATATCCCGGCTCGGGGGTGAATGGATTAAAGAATTTTGGTCCGAACCTCAGGTTTTGACCAAGCGGGTCCGGTGTCGATTTTTGACTTTTTGTGGGAAAGTTTGGGAAATCTAAATTTATGCAATGTAATTGATTCCTTTAGCAATATTTGATATTATTGAGACATTTTTGAATAGATACGAGTGGTTTGGAGGTGGATTCTAGAAGAAAAGTTGTGATTGAGTATTGAGTGGCCTTCGGAGCGAGGTAAGTGTCGTGGTTAACCCTGACTTGAGGGAATTAGGAACCTTAGATTATTTGCTATGTGAAATTCATGTGAGTGGCGTATATGTGAGGTGACGAGTACTTATGCGCCGCCAATTTACCTGTTTTTCCCGTTTCCCTCATTTTTCTCATATTGTCTCTTTCCCCTGCCTAATTGCTACGTGTTAGACTAGTGTTGTAAATTGATTATTCTTATTATGTTTATGGATCTTCTGGTGATAATTAAGTATTTATTTCGAAGTTGAGATTGATATTGTGGAACCAAATATTGAGGTAAGGCTTGTACTTGTTATTATTTCTCCCTGTTGTTATCTGTTCATTGCATTATGGTAAGGGAGAGTGTTAATACATGAAGGATGATGCCGTGCCATATTGTGAGTGTTAATGCACGAAGGGTGATGTCGTGCCATATTATGAGTGTTAATGCACGAAGGGTGATGTCGTGCCATATTGTAAGTGTTAATGCACAAAGGGTGATGTCGTGCCATGTTATGAGAGTTAATGCACGAAGGGTGATGTCGTGCCATATCTATTGATTTATATTGTGAGTCTGAGAGTAAAAGCACGAAGGGTGATGCCGTGTAATTTTCTTCATTGTGTTTTAGGTCTTTTTACTGGTTAAAAGCATGTGGACTGTTTCGGTTATCATTTCTGTTGTATCTCTTATATCTGGTGCCCCTTTAGCATGCCCCCCTCCTAATAGTACATGTTTAACTGTTATTGATGTTTTCTTGTACATATACTGTTATCTGCACATGTTTATTATATTGGTGTCTTGTCATAGCCTCATCACTACTTCGTCGAGGTTAGGCTCGATACTTACCAGTACATGGGGTCGGGTGTACTGATACTGCACTCTGCACTTTTGTGCAGATTTTGGTACTGGCTCGGGTTAATCGAGATTCTAGCTGTTGGGCTCGCTATCCGGAGACTCAAGGTAGATCTGTCGGCGTTCACAGACCTTGAAGTCCCCGTCTATCTTTTCTATTTTACTGTTTCTTTCATTCAAACAATTGTATTTTTTTCGGACTATTACTTGTAGTGAATTCTCGAATGCTCGTGAATTATGACTCCAGATTCGGGTGGTAGTAATTAAGAGAGTTTTATTATTATTCTGCACTCACTATATTTCATCTTAGCTAATTTTCGTTATTTACTGAATGGAATAAGGATTGGTTTAATGATTGTCTAACGTTGGCTTGCCTAGAAAGTGAAATGTTAGGCGCTATCACGGTCCCGACGGTGGGAATTTCGGGTCGTGACATAATGCCTTGTAATTTTATTATAGCAATAAAACATAGCAATATCTTTCTTAGTCTTCCTCTCCCCTTGGAATGAGCACAACAAAAGTGCTAATACTACCATTGAGAAGAAAAAGGAACTAATCAAGAAGTGCGAAAATACAAGTTACATGCTAATTTTTGTTCTGTGTCGCTAAAATATAATAAACTATTATCGGTATCAAGAATAGCAGGTGTAGGACGACTATGGGGTTTGGTTCGGAGAGCCGGGGGTAGGGGAGGAGGAACAACAGTACCAGTAGATTTGCCAGTCTTGGATTTTTCCTTATTCTTACTTTTACCAAAAATATTTCTTAAGAAAGATATTTTAATTAATCAAGTAATAAAAAATAAATAAAACAAACAAAACTATAATATTAAGACTTAAGAGTTGGAACGAGTTTACCGAATTGACGAACAACTTGTTGAAAATTGATTTTCGTTGAACACTTGAAGACTCTAATTTACCAACTTCATAATTTTTTCATAAATTATAACAACCTCAATATTTTTTGACTATTTTTTAGAATAAAGTAAGCAATAGTAGCAAGCTCACTTTTTTCACTATATTTTTTATAAAAGTAAACAATTGTAGCAAGTATAGAAGAAAATTAGAGGGAGATTTTGATAGATTGATATTGATTTTGTAAGAAAAATGAGAGAATGAGGGGGTGTTTTTAGTAAAATATAGGAAAAAGTGTAATAATAAAAAGTTTGGGGTTAAAAATTAGTTGGTTGGGGGAGGGTTTAAATGACTATTTTTTAAATACCCAACGGCTATTTTTTAAACACCCAACGACTACTTTTTTCAAAAGCCAAACAACTCTTTTTTTTTTAAATATATCTGTTGGGCCCGTTGGGCCCGCCAACTGTCCGGTCCCAATTTCTTGGCCGGCCAAACAGGTCCGGTCCTAACGGTTCCTAGCTAAAAACCAGCCCACGAGACTGGCGTGAGCCCACCTCTTGCGGGCCAAACGATCCCAAGTCTTTTAGCCCACGGTTCCGAGCCAGTCCCGTTCCCGACCCAGCCCTGTTGCCAACCTTAATTTGGAAGCTCAATCGCGGGACCAAGCGTAGATGAGTATTAAGACCTGCATATTATTGGGCAATGTTATTCAGTTTGTATGGCCCATGTCCTCTTAGGACATATCATTGTCAAGACAAATGTAGCTATCAGTACTATATAACTGGTTTACAAACGTTTCTAACTTTGATACCACAACTATAAGATAGTGACACTGATATTTTCAACCTGACCCAACGGCTATTTTTTAAACACCCAACGACTACTTTTTTCAAAAGCCAAACAACTCTTTTTTTTTAAATATATCTGTTGGGCCCGTTGGGCCCGCCAACTGTCCGGTCACAATTTCTTCGCCGGCCAAACAGGTCCGGTTCTAACGGTTCCTACCTAAAAACCAGCCCACGAGACTGGCGTGAGCCCACCTCTTGCGGGCCAAATGATCCCAGATCTTTTAGCCCACGGTTCCGAGCCAGTCCCGTTCCCGACCCGGCCCTGTTGCCAACCTTAATTTGGAAGCTCAATCGCGGGACCAAGCGTAGATGAGTATTAAGACCTGCATATTATTGGGCAATGCTATTCAGTTGTATGGCCCATGTCCTCTTAGGACATATCATTGTCAAGACAAATGTAGCTATCAGTACTATATAACTGGTTTACAAACGTTTCTAACTTTGATACCACAACTATAAGATAGTGACACTGATATTTTCAACCTGCCGAAATAAAACATCAATCACGTGGAGACAGAGAGATGTAAAAATTTTCGAGAAAACTACACGGGTGAGCACTTTAAAAATTATTTAAGAAAATAATATATTTTTTGTTTATTCCAAATATAGCAGATTATTTTTACAACATTAGCACATTAAAAAAGTTATACTACATATAACTAATTGCACAAATCAAGCGATATGATGTTTATCCTTATTTATATTTTACCCGCTCTCCCTCTTAGCAATTTTAAAAATAAACTAATCCACAAATCAAGGGGTCACACAACTCTTTTTTTATTTACTTAAGGGATAAAAAAGAAGATTTGCTTATTAACTTTTTTCTCTTTTCTTTAAAAAAATAATACGTATATAGAGAAATTTTTACACAATTCCTTAATTATCCCATAATCGAATCCTCAAAATATTGGATAATATATAGATAAAGTAGGTACTAACTAAACCCAATTAGATAAATAGAATACACCATGAATTTTGAAGACAGANTATATATATAAAAACTTAATACATACTCTAAAATTTATTATGTGGGGCCACTTAAACGTGATTTATGGGGGGAGGAGGAGGGGATGATGTGTTAGCAATGAATGTGATTTAGGTGATGGCAAGAAATTTGAGGAAGTGTGAAGTCGAGGGTGCCTTGATTATAGTAGGAGTTATTGAGATCCTAATTATTTGGATGGATTTTTAGGAACTGAAATGTTTGGAAATTTTTTCAACATGATTCACGGTCTAGATTTATAGGTTTTATTAAGGAATGTAATTAAGTAGTTGTTATATTTGTTAATCACGTAGTGCTGCTAGGGGTGAGTTCGAGTCACCCAAGAGCAAGGTGGTGGAGAGTTCTTGGAGAGAGGGAGCCGATGGTCTATTAGAAACAGTCTCTCTACCCTAGGGTAGGGGTAAGATCTGCGTACACATTCCCTCCCCAGACCCCACTAGTGAAATTATAATGAGTTGTTGTTGTTGTTGTTGTAGTGCTACTAGGATTTTATAAAATTTTCTTAAATATTGGCTATTTGTGTTTTTTGTCGGGGAGGGACTTGGCAAAAGCCACTGATAGAGGATTGTGTTAGGGTTGTGTTCTGATTTTCTTATCATATTTGATTTTTTTATTTCTCGAAGAAAATGATAATATATTTATCATAATTGATTTTTTCTTTCTATAGAAGAAAATTATAATTCTTCCATGTTTGGCTAGTCCTTTTTTCTTGTAGAAAAATATTTGGACTTCTATAAATTGAGGATCCTTCCTTCTCATTCATTAGCATCCACAATTTAGCCATATGGGTTTGAGAGTCGTATTTAGGGGAAGAACTTTACGGGACAAGTGTTAGTATGTCACTTGTGTTTGCCTCTTTGTGAGGTTGTTCTCTCGATATTTTGTACTCTCTTTTATATAGTGGATTGCTCATCTCCGCCGTTGATGTTTGGATATAATTCCATATTTTTAGTGCATTATTTACCTTATATTTTGAGGCTTTAATGCTAAACTATATTATATTTGTACTTAATTGAGTTTATTTTATGTGTAGGTATATTGGAGATGAAATTGGAGCAAAGTAAAGATTTTATGTTTATTTTATATACTACAGGAATGAAGTTATAATTATTTAATTTGTGGTATTTAATTGCAAAAGAAGACAAAAAGAAGAAAATAAAAAAAGCAAAAGAAGAGTTGAAAAGTAAGGAATGAGAAGGAGAGGAATTTGGGAAAAGTTAGGCAAAGCAGGAATGAAACGAAAAGCTCGCTATGGAGCTGGCGTCGCGCAGTGGAAAGCACGATGGAGAGCCCGCGTCGCCCGGTGTACAACGAGGTGGATCAGGCGTTTTGCCTCGCGACGCGGGTGTTCCGGATTTTAGGCCTATTTTGTCTCATATTTGGTTTTGGATTTGGTTATTTCGTATAGGTTTTTCCTACACATATAAATAGTCATTAAACACTATTTTGAAAGGGGAAAATTCGACCTAAGGAGACAAGAACACACTAGGAGCAAGATGGCGAATTCTTCTATTAGTTTTTTCACTTCCGTCTTCCTATTTTTATTATTGGTTATGAATTCTAGTATTGTAGTTTTGCATACTATTATGAATAGTTTGGATTAATATCTGAGTGACTCCTGCTTGGTATGTATCTCTATAAAGTTGATTTTTACAATCAAATGGAGGATAAGCATATCTCTTATGGCTGCAGGCATACCAAGTTGATTTTGTAGTAGTTTGCGTGGGAAGATTCAGCCAAGTGCCAAATATCCCTCAATTCCCTCCCAACAAAGGTCCACAAGCTTTAGACATTGAAGTAATCCATTCAATGGACTATTCCAAAATGGATTCAACAACTGCAACTAACTTTGTCAAAGGAAAACATGTAGCAGGCATTGGGTCCCAGAAATGAGGAATGGGCATTGCCATTGAGTGCTCCACAGTTAATGGTAAGTATTGCTACTAATCTTCCATATACCTCCATTCCCTGGACCTGTTTATTGTTTGTTTATAAACATCAGCTTGATTCTGTTTGCATTAGTTTTGCAGGGATTGAACGTCCATGCACAGTAGTAACCAGGACACCACATTGGAACATTCCGGATTATTTTCCATAGGGATTGCCTTTGGCATATCTCTACCTACATTGATTCTCCGAACTTATGGTGCATAAACCCGGCGAAGGCCTTCTTCTAAGTCTCCTCGCCACAACTCTTTCACCTTTGGTAATTGTTTTCTTCGTGACTAATTAAACTTATAAAAAGACTCAACTATGTGCAGCAACAATTAGTCATACTTTCTCATTGAAACTAACAAATGCATCTGCAAACAAAGCCAAATACTTTAAGGTTGAGTAATGTTCATTTCTAGCTGTGGATTGTACATCTCGTTCAAAACTTAACCATTGTAGAGAAACTAAGCTACATATAGGTTATATACCTGAATTTCAATAGCCAAAGACTGAGAATCTGATTAGCTTTCTAAATTGGAAATGATCTTGAATTTTGAAGTCGTCTTAAAGTTAGAATACAATAGAATTTTGAGTACAAGTGAGAACAGAGGAAAGGAGACCTCTCTGAAGCTGGCAGAAGAGGGCATGATGATCCAGTAGCGAGTTTGACTAAGTCGGATTTTATTGGTTCAGTCTGACCCTCGAGAATGATACCTTCTTTCGAGAATCCAAAGCTCTTTGCTTTCTGCAACTTGATATTTCCTTCCCCAACTCTATCGTAGAATCCCTCATGCACTATAGAAATTAAACATGAACTCAATTCGTTTAAGAAACTATACTCTAGCATTGTTCCATGTTTTGCAAGCCCGAGTTTGTATTGTATATGACTTTCTACAAATTTTGAGAAGGACCACCTCTCTAAAATATGAGTGATTTCGATTAGTACTGCATATTAGTTTTATGAGAGGAAGAATAAAAATCACATTGTTGTAACTTTGAGCATATGAGTAGTAACTTTAAGACGACTTCTAGTAACTTTGGGATAGATTCTAATATTTTGAAAAGGAATAGTAGTTAACTTTGTCGACACATGCTGCTCCATTGTTGCTTCAACAACAATAATATTTATTTTTCTTGTTTCTTCACTTAACTTGCACACTTACATGTATTTGTGTTACGTAACAGTCATGTAATTTTATTCTTATGTTAAACTCCACTTTTTTACTTCTTTTATCCTTTTGGGTTCCATAGTGGTGTCATGTAAAAAACATTTCTTCACTTTTTTCCTTTCTTTAAACAATTGGTGGAATAACTTTTCATTTCCAAATTCAAGATCTTTCTAGTTTATAAAGCTACTCAGTCTTTGGTTATTGAAATTCAGGTATATAACTTATATGTAGCTTAGTTTCTCTACAATGGTTAAGTTTTGAACGAGATGTACAATCCACAGCTAGAAATGAACATTACTCAACCTTAAAGTATTTGGCTTTGTTTGCAGATGCATTTGTTAGTTTCAATGAGAAAGTATGACTAATTGTTGCTGCACATAGTTGAGTCTTTTTATAAGTTTAATTAGTCACGAAGAAAACAATTACCAAAGGTGAAAGAGTTGTGGCGAGGAGACTTAGAAGAAGGCCTTCGCCGGGTTTATGCACCATAAGTTCGGAGAATCAATGTAGGTAGAGATATGCCAAAGGCAATCCCTATGGAAAATAATCGGGAATGTTCCAATGTGGTGTCTTGGTTACTACTGTGCATGGACGTTCAATCCCTGCAAAACTAGTGCAAACAGAATCAAACTGATGTTTATAAACAAACAATAAAGAGGTTCGGGTAATGAAGGTGTATGGAAGATCAGTAGCAGTACTTACCATTAACTGTGGATGGCAATGTCCATTCCTGATTTATGGGACCCAATGACAGACTACATGTTTTCCTTTGACAAAGTTAGTTGCAGTCGTTGAATCCATTTTGGAATAGTCCATTGAATGGATTTCTTCACCGTCTACAGCTTGTGGACCTTTGTTTGGAGGGATATTTGGAACTTGGCTGAATCTTCCCACGCAAACTACTACAAAATCAACTTGGTATACCTGCAGCCATGAGAGATATGCTTATCCTCCATTTGATTGTAAAAATCAACTTTATAGAGATACATACCAAGCAGGAGTCGACTCAGATATTAACTTAACAATAAATGCGTACTGAATTGAACTTGTAAAAATAATTTGTATAAGTTTTTGAAATGGCACTCTACGGAGAACTGTTTATGCAGCTCTCTTTGGGTTACAAACAATCATATTACACACTACATTAGATTAGCTATTCTAGTAATTATATTAAAACAGTGTTAGTAATACTAGCTTGTCAGCTCTTCTACTCTTACCAATGAAGTATTGGCAATATATAGGACAAGCTCGGTTAGATACAAATCCTACAAGGCATGAAGCTGAGTCATGCGTTAATGTATTAGTTAGTATATGCTAGAGAATGCCTAGTTACGTTGCTCTAGTTGTTGTTTCGTAAATACTACTCCCCCTAGTTCAATTATTTATAGCCTCAGAGAACTGGTAAACAGGTCTTGGAGTCTGCAGCTTGATACTCCCAATTGTCTTAGTCCACATACCTCTGATGCTCCCAATTAACCTTGAACAATAAATTTGCTATATTGTCTTCCTTCCATTTCTGGTCAATCTAAACAGATTTCATTTTGTTGAAAAAGGGAAGTGTTCATTTTCCTTAAGACATCCAATTCAATGAACCAAGGGAAAAAGGTATTCGAGATCCTATATCGTTTCCAAACTGTAGTCAATGTATGATCGCAAATTCTCCCAGCACAATTACTATTGACAATTAACATTTCTAACTCGTCTAAAACCATGTTTGGCCAAACCGCCAAAAAATGCTTCTTTTGAAATTCACTTTTACCAAAATGGATTTTCAGAATAGTACTTTTTGGAGCGTAGCAGTTTGTGTTTGGTCAATTCATTTGAGAATTATTATTTTTTTTACATAAATTGGGAAGCAAAACTAATCTTTACAAAAAGTGCTTTTGAGTGTCAAATTACTGTCAAGGTTCAGTATACTATTAGTATATTTAAGATAGAAACGAAAAAGAATTTAATTAAGTTTTTATTTGAGCAAAATTTATTTGTAGTCACTCAGGCCAAACTTATATCACCCAGTAGCCACTAAATGACCTCATACAAGTTATAACCTAAAAACAATAATAATGGCTAGCAATTGAAAAACCTGAAAGTGGTGCCACTGAGGAAAATCGGAGCCGCCGGGACGAGAATTAGTAAACAAGAGAGAAGCAGAAGGAAGCAAATCGGAAGACGATAATTCAAAATGTTGAAACTCCGGAGCTTGTGTACGGACAGTGTGGAGAGAAAGTGTGACGGCGACGGTGTATCAACGATGTCGTTTCGTACCTAAGGTGACCTCATCATCTTTTTCTTTTCTTTTTTCTTTATCTTTTAGCGAATTAACGGTGCATTGATAAATAACAGGAAGAAATGGGAAAGTAAGAAGCTTTTAGTGTTGTGTTTCAATGGAGTTATAGGGTTTTGAGTTGGGAGTTTGAAGTCACGGGAAATAACAGGAATTTTTATGATTGTTTTTTCTCACATAACTATGCATAACGTTGAAATATATACAAAATATATTGTTACTATACAAAATATGTACTAAATAGACTGTCACTATATAAATTATATACAATAGACTGTCACTATACAAAATATATACAAAATAGACTATCACTATACAAAAAATATACTAAATAGATTGTCACTATACAGTTCATATATAATAGAATGTCACTATACAAAATATATATAAAATAGACTGTCACTATACAAAATATATATAAAATAGACTGTCACTGTACAATTTATATACAATAGACTATCACTATACAAAAAATATACTAAATAGACTGTCACTATACAAAATATATACAAAATAGACTGTCACTATACAAAAATATACAAAATAGATATTTCGGGCTATTATATGTAATATATTTGGACCGAAGGGACGTTTCGTGTCAACGAAAAAATATGGGCTATTAAAATTTTGAGAGGCTATAGAGAGTCATTTTCTCCTTTTATTTCGATTTAATTAAAATATAAAACATAAACTAATAATACAAATTAAAGATTTTAATCAATATAAAATATGGTTATACCAAAATAATAATATTTCGCATATGGTATATTACAAAAAAAACATAACGAATCATACCTCATGAAAAAAATACTTAAATATGGTGATTAGCTTAGTTATTTCAAAAAAGGAATGAGAGTTGCAATAAGAGAGGATGAAAAGAAAAAAGACAGAAAAAATATATTTATAATAGAAAAACTATTAGAAAGAAGAGTAGGAGAAGGTAGAAAAAATATTAAGTACTTATCTAAATTAAGGGGAGATGAGTAGGCTACTCAAAAGCACTTCTCCGTTTTGACCAAACACCTCGATTTCTAAAAAAATATTTTTTGGGACAAAAGACTTTTGGCCTTTTAAAAGCTTGAGCAAACATGCTATAAAAGTCTAGTCTTTATGGCTGTGTTGTTGGATGATCCTCCTACCAAGTTTGTTGAATTAGAATTCTTGACCTATTATGGTATCATTCTACTGGATATATGGAGTTTAGGGCCCGTTTGGCCAAGCTGCCAAACACTGTTTATTTTGAAAAGTAATTTTTTCCAGAAGTGCTTTATCCAAAAGTACTTTTGGGAAAAAACACTTTGTGTTTGGCCAATTCATTTAAGAAATACTTTTTGCAACATTTGGTAAACAAATTGTATTTGACCGGCCTTTCTAAAAAGTACTTTTGAGTGTCAAATTACCAAAAAGGATAGTACCGAAGTCTTGTAATTATTTTAAAGAGAAAAATGAACTTAAATATTTATCGTAAACTTTTATTATTTTTTATTTTATTTAATTAAAATATAAAATATAAAGTAAACATACATATTAAAGATTTAAATTAATATAACATATATAGTTGCACCAAAGCATATAATATTATCTAGTATAATTACTTATTGTTTATATGATGATTTGAATAATCAAAATACATCATTCAGTATGAATTAGAAGTTTATTCCACAAATTACTATATATTGATAATCCACTATGAAATAATAAGCAAAGTCGCACACACATGATAATATTTCTCAACAATTTCATCTCTAATTCTATAACACAACACCTTCATATTAGTAGAAGACTTGCCTTGAATTTCTAAAGGAAAGCAGAAGGCTCATCTCATTCCTCAATCTCTGCAGTAATGCTTCATTAGCATAATAGTTGAATTCCGTATCGGTAGAAGAATGTCGTCGGATGAAATTTTGTATAGCTATGGTAGTTGTAACAAGATGATTCTGAGTGTCAAACTTGAAAGATGGCATCGAGCATTGTATATGGTCGGAATCGAGTTCACCTACGACATGGCAAGTTAGGCTCGGAACATGACAACCAAAGACTGAAGATCGACCCCGAGTCCCACTGAGCTAGAACTCGGGGTTAGAATGCTAGTCTTCGAGAACATTGAGCTTGTAATCCCCGAGTCGAACTTAGCCCCGATCAAGCTCAAAGAAAAATTGTTAGCATAACCAGCAGAAGACCTAAATATTCGTGACTGGTCAGGTATTACGGCGAGAATCTCGGCGCTTATCAGTAAGGAACCGTCAATCAGCTAATCAAGAGATTTTTTACCTTTTATAGAATTGTACCTAAAGTAGGACTCATCTACTATATAAAGAGGGATTTAATAATTCATTAAACATGTTGTAACACGCATCCCAAAATAATACATTGTTATTGTTTCTCTTTAAGCTCTTGTTCCTCTGTATCCTGAAATCGTTCGAAGCGTACCTGGCTCGAGGGTGGCTAACCTTCCGAGGCTGATACTATTCAATTCATTTGGTTTGCATTTACTTTATCGTTATTTATTTTAATTGTGATCTAATTTATCATTTTGTATCAAGTTAGTCCATATATCCTTAAAACCACTTACAAATTTAATTGTTATCCGATTTCGAGGGTAAACAGTTTGGCGCACACCGTGGGGCTAAGGATAATAGTGGTTATTTGATACAAATCTCCATAACACACACTACTTTACACTTATTCTTTGAAGTGTCTCTAATTGGAGGGTAAAACTCAAAATGTCGAATTCTCAACCAGCACCCCTACATTTTGACAATGAGTCCGGTCATCACGGTGAAAATAACAACATAGCGCCCGGTGATGAGGTACTGGCTATTGATCCTATCGAAATTCCTGTCGCGGGCCCGATTGACGCTAATTTATATATGGCTATCGACGCAAACTTGTCTACCGACCCCGAGAATATTGTCCATGGTGGAGCCCGATCGGCAACTCAAAATACACAAAATATTGGAGGAGACGGAATCGATTTATGGGTAATCTTTGAAATGTTGCAGGCTCAACATGCAGCGATAGCTCAGTTACAGAACCAAAGTCGTGCACCGAGCAGAATTGAACCCGATCCACCCCGAGAAATCACCCGCAAGGATGAACCGGTACTCGAAGAGCTGACAAAACATATAGAATCAGGGGAGAAGAAAATCGAAGCTAATGACAAAAACGTGGAAACCTACAATTCCATGGCAGACCAAATCCCAAGAGCACCGCCAATATTGAAAGGCCTGGATTCCAAGAAGTTCGTACAAAAACCTTTTCCTCCGAGCAAGGATCCAAAGCCGATCCCTAAGAAATTTTGCATGCCCGAGATTGCTAAGTATAACGGAAAGACCGACCCAAATGAGCATGTAACCTCCTACACATGTGCCATCAAAGGGAACGACTTGGAGGATGATGAGAACGAGTCTGTCGTGTTGAAAAAGTTCGGAGTGACCCTGTCAAAAGAAGCTATGATATGGTACCACAACTTACCGCCTAATTCTATTGACTCATTTGCCATACTTGCAGGTTCTTTCATGAAAGTACACGTCGGGGCCATTAAGGTCGAGACCAGAAAATCGGACATTTTCAAAGTAAAACAGAAAGATAACGAGATACTCAGAGAGTTCGTGTCCCGATTTCAAATAGAACGAATGGACCTGCCACGGGTCGCTGATGATTTGGCCATTCAGGCTTTCACCCAAGGGCTCAATGTTCGAAGCTCGGTGGCTTCACACTAGTTGAAACAAAACCTGATAGAATATCCGACCGTTACTTAGGCTGACATACATAATCGGTATCAATCAACAATCAGAGTGGAAGATGATCAACTCAAGGCCTCTTCGGGGTCCGTTTATCCTATCAAAACCATCGACAGAGTCAGGAGAGACATCGATCGTAAACTGAGACCAAACAGGGATCGTT